TACTTCATCTCTACTCCTGACGTCGCGCTCACCTACACGGCCAACCTAACAGCTACTCTTCAACTTCATGGCTACGTAGATGTGGGCCATGCGGGAGATGTCAACAACACACGCTCTGGCATAGGCTTCACATTTGAACTCCAACATGCTTGGCTCATCTCATGGAACTCCCAGAAACAGGAGCTCATCGTTCATTCATCAGCCAAAGCCAAATTTATCGCCACCAGTGTAGCTGTTTGCGAATGTCTGTACCTCATGGAGCTCATACAAGAAGCGAAAGTGACAATGAACGGGCACTTCACGTTACTCTACGACAACCAGAGCGAAATCTAAATTGCGAACAAGCCTGGCGTTGTCAATCGCACGAAGCATATCGCACTACGTTACTTCTATGTCAAGGACAAGATTGACTAAGGCAGAGTTAAACTCACGTATTACCCGAATGGCGACATGGTAGCGGATCTTTGGACCAAGAAGCTGCCACGTCAGAAGTTCCAGCACTACGCCAACCTTTGCGGGATCTCGAAGAAATCCCACGTGGCTCACCGTCACAAATGAAAGATCAGGTTATTACACATTCTCGAAGGTTCTCCCTTAGCGATTTGCCTCATACTGAAGTAGCACCTGTACCAATATCGTGCTAGCTCATATAGAGCACACGGCAGTCGGTCAGTCACGTAAAGGTCAATAGTCGCTAGAAGTGAACGGTCGTGACTTTTGACCGCCCAATAGCCGCACTCAAAGGTTACACGCTACAACAGGATAAATGTCGAGTATAGCAATAACCGCGGTTACTATACCAATGTAATACAGTTAATAAGAAAATGTACCCCTCAGAGTACATGGCTAGCTAGGATTTCTATTCAAACCCTTTGTATCTCTTGACAGAATGCTGTATTTCTCTAGCCTGCAGTGGGGTACTCCATAGCGAGTACAGCCCAACTTAGGGTTTCATATATGTACTCAACTGTTTGCTAGTGCAACCCTCTCTTTTTGCTTCGAAACTTTCTGCTTACCTTTCGACATGCTATCAGAGCAGGTCGACCCTCGTGGGTCGATCCTGTGGGTGGGCCCCACCCGATGTTTCCACTGCTCTACTGTTGTCGCGCGCCCCGGGCGCGCGACCCTTTCTCCCTGCCGCCCGCTCCGAGCGTGCGGCGTTCTTCATCCCGCCGTGCGCTCGGGGCGTGCGGCGGTTTTCTGCCCGCCGTGCGCCCCGAGGCGCGCGGCGGTTTCCTGCCCGTCGTGGCGCCCCCGAGGACCTGCGCGCTGCCCCCCGTCGTCCTCCTCCCATCGCCTCGTCGCGGCGCCCTGGGGGCCCGCGCGCCGGCCCCTCCCGTCGCCTCGCCGCGGCGCCTTGGGGGCCCGCACGTCCCCCCCCTCCCGTCGCCTCGTCGCGGCACCTTGGGGGCCCGCACGTCGCCCCCTCCCGTCGCCTTGTTGCGGTGCCTTAGGGGCCCGCGCGTCGCCCCCTCTCGTTGCCTCGTCGCAGCGCCTTGGGGGCCCGCGCGCGGCCCCTTCCGTCGCCCGTCGAGCCGCCCTCGGGGGCCTGTGCGTGGCCCCCCTCCCGTCACCCGCCGTAGCGCCCTCGGAGGGCCCGCGCCCTGCTCCTTCGTGGCGCCCAGGAGACCCCCCCGATGCCTCCCTTTCCCTCCGTGACACGCCCCTACTGCTTCCAAGCTCCTGCCTGCGTTAGGGTTTGGGGGTGGCGGTCATGGGGGTAAATGGTGTGGGTAACCTGCAGCTCCTCCTCCTCCTCCGTCTCGCGCTGCTGCAGCTGCCGGTGAGGGGGGTGGGTGTGTAGGAGCCGAGGGTTTAGGGTTTAAGGGGGGTGTCGTGGGAGTGGAGCTAGGGGCGCAGCAGGGGGTGTGTGATAGGGGTGTGGGGCAGCTGGGGGAGGTCGAGTGGAGGCAGTTGTCGTGTCGTCAGCAGCGCCAGTAGTCCGGAGGCTACAATCTCTGGTAGTCGTCAATCGCCTGTGGGTCAGTTGCTCCAGTGAGGAGGCTACAATCTCCGCAAAGCCAGTTACTCCTGTAGTCCAGGCCTTTGCTTCGGTAGCTACTGAGCCAGCCGTTCCTGTGTGTCTGCAGCTTCAGCAGTCGCCTCCCATCTTCTCGCCCCCACAGTCTCTCCTCCTCCTCACTTGCCCTCTGTGATAGCCTCTAGCTTTGCTTATCATTGTGAACTATTGCTATGCATGCTTGTTGTGCTGATTACACCCCACTTTGGCTATGGGGGTGTGTCAGAATGCTGTATTTCTCTAGCCTGCAGTGGGGTTCTCTATAGCGAGTACAGCCCAACTTAGGGTTTCATATATGTACTCAACTGCTTGCTAGTGCAACCCTCTCTTTCTGCTTTTAAACTTTCCGCTTACCTTTCGACATCTCTAACTTAATCATGTTGTTCTCTGTCAATTATCAATAACAACGTCATCACAAGACCTCACTGTCTTTCTCACAACTTGGCTAGCTCATCCTGTCCACTACGATTCTTGGTTACATCATGAAAAAAGTGTTATCCGTGTGCCTCACTATATCCCAACACACAAATACACAATATGACACAACCCCGTAGGCTGATTGAAGGACAACAAGGAAGAATCAGAAACACAAATGGTGAGAGGACCAATCAAGAGAAGCAACAACGCAAAGAGAACCAGTGGTGGTCATCAGGCGAAAGGGCCTTGGCGAAGATGTCTGCAGTGTTGGCTGCCGAGGCCACAAAGTTCAAGTGTGCTTGCCCGTGTTGTTGGAGCTCTCGCCGCAGAAAGTGTCTCATGTCGATGTGCTTCAGTCTGCCCTACACTGGAGGCTCTCGACCTTTTTTGTCAGTGAGCAAGGTCGGAGCAGAGCGAGGCCGCTCACCAAGGTCGGTGAACAAGAAGGTCAACCAGCGAAGCACCTACGCATCCACAGCACTGGCGTGGATCTCGGCTTCAGATTTAAGACTGCGCCAGAGACGACTGCGGAGCAAGGCTCTCGTTGTCAGACCAAATTGGCCTGGTGGTCTGATTTTCAGACCTTCATTTTTGCTTTCATCTGAATTTTTAAGACAGTGATTTTAATTTCGTCTGATCCATAAGACAAAGGATTTTAGTTCGTCTGAATTTTCAGAGCATGCGCTATACCTCGTCTGAAATTTCAGATAGCGAGTTTCGTTTCATCTGACACCGACAATTCTGCCCACGTGGCCATAGGCTGTCAGTTCTAGCACCTTTGGTGGCTGAAATCGCACGTGTAATAATTCGCGTTGCCTCCCTGGCCGAATTTCGTATTGTAGTTTATTGTACCTGCACAAGGCCCGCCTCGCTACCAACCCAGCCAAGCCCCCCTCGCAACTACCAGTCCAGCCAAGTCCCCCTCGCCTTTACCAGCCCGGCCAAGCCACCCTCGCCTCTACCAGCCCAGCCAAGCCCCACCCCCCCACGTCCGCCAGCCTAGCGTTACCGTAAGCCCCCCTCGCCCCTACTAGCCCCCCTACCAACTTCAGCCCGGCACTTCCCCCAAGCCCCTCGCACATTTCCCAGCCCAACCCATCTCCCACATCACTCGCCCTTACCCTAGTCAAGCCGCTCCCCACCTCAAGCCCCTCGCCTCACTGCTCACAAACTTGCAGGCTACGTCATCAGGATGCAAGCTGCAACATCAGACGTGGATAAATATTTCGTCTGAGATTTCAGACATGCAATGGAATTTCGTCTGAAAAGACAGACCAGCGAAAAAATTCCGTCTCAACATCAGACGAAACGGTTTTGGGTTTAGGTTTTCAGACTGGCCAAAATCCTAGCGAGAGCCCTGCTGTCGAATAGATATCCATGACACAGTACCAAAACCCAGGCTGGAATAGTACCTTTGATTAGACATGCCGGTCTCTACGTCGTTAGCATAGGAAGAGTCAACACAATTAGCTGTGTCCCTCCAAGTACAAGTCACGTGCATGATGTAGTCGTCAGGTACTTCGATACCCTCCAGGGCCTCAGATTCGTTTGGGGGTACACTGAGGCCTCAGGGCAGTTTTTAGGAATCAGAATTTGCCCTGAATTATCAGGGCTGCACAGGGTGAGGTATCCTGAAATGCCAGTGCTACATTTGCTTGCAGCCTGTAAACTCAATGCAACGATTTGTATCAGTTGAAGTGTGGTAGCGGGTGAAACGACAAAGCCGTATGCAACAGATGTTGTACTCGATTCCTGCTCGCCGTAAGTATTTTAGGCCCCGAAACCCAGGAGATTTTCGTACAGTACATCTCGCTTCAAAGCGAGATTCGACACTATCCTGACTCATCAGGGTCAGGGCTGAACCTACAGCCTTATCCTGAGTTTTCAGTACGCAAAATAACCGTTGTACTGAAATCACAGGACAATTACGGTATTCCTGTTATGCTGTTTTTCCAGGACTAGCACACGACACCTATCCTGAATTCAGGAGAGTCGGGATAAATTATCCTGATAATTGAGGCCCTGATACCCTCAAATTTGTCGACCACTGAATAGGATGGTGTCTCCCAATCGCAACAAAGCGAGCCAGGATGTTGAGAGGAAAAGCGGGGTTCGGTGTATTACATGGTGATTCCATAAAGTGATGCATTTTTGTCAGATGTTGATTGCAACGAATGGTCTCACCACTACCACTCAAAAGCACATGCAAATCTCAACAGCAATCATTGGCCGATGTGATCGAATACATGGTGACTGTAAAAGCAGCCGAGCCAGGTACTGTAGCACCGCAACCCCCATTTTTTTTTAATTAATAGAAGTATACACCGCAAGCACAAATGCATACAAACGAGGCGATCTGCTCCAGCGAATTGTTCACAAACCGATCAAGAACGTCTGGTATGATGTCACAAGCTGGATTTAGCTTGAGATTGCATTCACAATTAATGAAGCTCATGAATGGCTTGGATGGCTTTGAATGGCACGTCATAGTATGGTATGGGTGGCATGGCACGTCACGGCATGGCATTGGATGTCATGTCATGGCATGGTATAACAAGTAACATCACAGCATGGCACAATATGGCATGGCAGCTGATAACAGCATACCTTTCCCTCCCTGATGGTGCAGCCATTTGGTGTGCAGCGATGCATCGCATGCCGATACGGCCTGGGATGTGGGGCAGACACATGGAAAGATGTAAAGTGAGAGCATACATTGAGTTGAAACACACCACAGCCACACACACACATCCGTCTCACCATCATCTCGCTAAGATGAGCCATGAGACCCAACCCAGTGAAACACATCTCACCCTTCCATCCGCAGCCACACCCACCCATCTAACCTTCACTTTTGAGAATCCTCAAAAAGGAAAAAAGCAATCCCATCTCACCATCTCAAGGATAAAGTACCATCGACCCTTTCATCTCTCTGGGTGCGCTCTCCCCATCAGCAGACACCCAGCCGCCACACACCCTTGCATGCTGCACCAATGCCTGCAGCCGTGCCGCATCTCCATCCCCATCATTCCCTGCCCGCATCTGCTCCAATGCCTGCTTGACACGTGGCAGCACCTCCTGTGCTGCTTGTAATGCCATAGCTGCTAGCACAACCCTTTGTCCGTACCTCCATCCTCCCACCCCTGCTGCTCCCCCTTTCCCATTTTCACACGTTCCCTCTTCTCTTCGAGTTTCACAGTCCTTCACCCCCATCACCCACCCTGTCCCCTCACTCCCCTTGTTCTCTCCCTCTTTCCAGATCTGAACCCCCATGGCAGTCAGGAGGGACTCTCGTTCGTTCGTTCCTTCGTTGCTGCCACTCGCATTGAACGTTGACATCGCTGCTGCATCCAAGAGTGACTTGCAAAATGGATCACATTGTTTGTTGTTGAGTGGCAACGAGTAGGAGCGGAAGGTGAGTGAGCGCAGAACAGAGAGCAGAGAGAGGAGAGCGTCTAAACACGGATTTGACGATTTTTGCTCCGCTGCTGCTAATGTGGTTGATGCTGTTTCTAGACCAGGAGAGCCAATAACATCACAGCACATGTCCCCAATTCCCAGCAGCAGCGCACCCATATGCCCATCCTCTATCCTCCTCTCCAACCTCCCATCCTTCCCCTCTTTCACTCCTGCTTTACCCCACTCAGCCTCCCCTTTCCCTCCCTCTTTCCCCCCATCTCCCTTCCTCTCCAAACCTAGTTTCCCCCTTGCTGCTCTCCACTCCACAGAACCGGTCTGCCTCCCTCCCAACACCACACCATCCCTCTCCCCTCCCTCCCCTCTTTCCTCCTCCCCTCCTCCCCTCACGCCGCTCAGCTCCTCTCTCTCCCTTGGATCCCTCTCCTCCAACCGCCTCCTCTCATCCCCACCAAGGCTGGCTCGAGCCCTTGCTGTCACCGCCGCCACTGCCGCTGCTACAGCTGCCTCTGATGCTTCTGTCCGCCTGTGCTGGAGCTGATTGGAGGGTAAGGGTTGGGCGGTTGGGGGAACAGTGGGAGGGGAAAAGGCCGGTTGAAGAAAAGAAGCGACCGATGCTCTGCAATGCAAAGGCCGCTGCCACTGCTGCGGTTGCTCCTGCCTCTGATGGTTCTGTCCGCCTGTGCTGAAGCTGATTGGGAGGGAGAGGGTTTCGGTGGTCGGTTGGGGGAAGAGAAAGGTTTCGGTGTTGAGAGGTAGAAGAAAGGATGGTCCCTGAAGAAGAGAAGAGCAAGCCATGGTCTACTGTTGCAGATAGCTCCAGCTCGTGCAACCAATCAGCGGTTGGGGAGCGAGCATGGCTTGCACTTGCAACCAGCTGTACAGCTCTCCTTGTCACTTGTGCAAAACCATTGCCACTGCTGCGGCAACAGCCGCTACAGATGCCTTCGATGCTTCTCTTCGCCTGTGTTGGAGCTTATTCGACGGGAGAGTGCTGGGCGGTGTGGGGAAGACGAAGGATGCAGTCTGCACTGTGGGGGAAAGAGGGGATACGGAAGGGCGGCTGCGCTTGAAAGAGAGGCGAGGGGGTTTGGGTGGTCGGGTGGGCGGTAGCAGGAGGTAGGGAGTGTGGCAGGAAGGACAGTAGTAGAAGACAAGTGAGCAATATTCTGCAATTATAAGAACTCTGTTGTTGGTCGTAAGGCTTCTGTTGCTCTCACAGTGTCCTACCTCACCCCGTTTTCGTGTGTATCTTCAAATGACGTCAGCAACCCCATACCTCCCCACTCCAAACACGTATATCAGCTTCTTGCCCCACCTGCTCGGCCATGCACAATACAAGAAAAGAGAGGGAGAGAGGGCGGATGCAGCAATACGGTGCCTTTTTAGTCGACTCAACAGTCACACGTATGACAGCTCTTCTTGCCCCACCTGCTTGCCCAGGCACAGTAAACGATAGAAAGAGTCACAGCATTCGATTGCACGTGCTATCTGCAGTGCGGCATGCATCCATAGCAAGCTGTCCCTGCAGACAGCACTGAGACTGGAAACGAAACGACAAATGGGGTGCAAACAACCCCTTCTTTGCCTTCATGGCATGGTTTGATCAACCAGTGGCTGACAGCCAGTCAGTCAGACCCATGAGGTGGGATGTGGACAGCTGTCAAAATATGTTGTATTTGCGTGCATTATAGTTAAATCCAAGGATCTGTGGCGCAATGGTAGCGCGTCTGACTCCAGATCAGAAGGTTGCGTGTTCGATTCACGTCAGGTTCAGACACTGCGTTTTCCTCCCGACGGTTTTTTTCTCTCCAAACCGTGAGCTGTGTCCACCACATTTGCGTTCTGCGTTCATACACTGTCTGTGATGTGCGGTTTACGTTTTGTGTAACGCATGAGTCGCATGGTGCTCTATGGCTGGAACCAGGTCAGCATCGAAGACTCTTCTTCTGGTTCAGGAGTCTGAACCAATGCAAGCCACGGAAGTTACCACTCGCTACAAGAACCCGGGCTCACACTCAGTTTTCCACGATGATAGGCGGACCCTGGCAAGAGGACGAAGGGTGGCGAATCCACCGGCCATTTTCTGCGACGTTTTTTATTAGACGAAAGGATATGCGAACGAAGTCGCCCTACCTCGCTTTCGCCCAATTGCATTGCACCGCGGTTATACAAGAAATGGTGATTACTCTTGCCTTGCCCAGAAATTCATATCAAGCAGCAAAAGTCTCCACAAATCCGTCCCCACATAGCACTTGCAATTCCCACCCCACCCAAACCTCCCCATGTAACCACTTTCCACCCAACTTTTCTCGTAAAGTCACCCTCAGCATTTTAGCACACCAGACGTCACAACAGTATGCTCAACCTATCGTTGATTCCTCATCACGAATCAAATTGCACGCGCCTCTGCTTGGCATGCCAGTAGCACTCAGTCCACACATGGTCTGCCCAATCCACTGCCTGCCGCTGCCGCAATTCCCACCACGTATCCCCACACACCCCTGCAAACCACTGCTCTGCCATTGATATGATGGCATGACAAGCCCTTTCCACGCACCTCTGCTTCGCGTTCGAGTAGCACTCAGTCCACACATGGACTCTCCAATCCACTGCCTGTAGCCATCACATGCACATGCACATGCACGCACATGCACACACATGCACATACACGCACATGCACATGGACATGCATGCACACATATGCACGCACATGCACACACATGCACATGCACGCACATGCACATGGACATGCATGCACACATATGCACGCACATGCACACACATGCACACACATGCACACGCATGCACGCACATGCACACACATGCACATGCAAATGCACACACATGTGCGTGCACACACATGCACATGCACACACATGCAAATGCACAAACATGCACGTGCGCACACAAGCACATGCATCGAAGCGGCAATTGGTGCACGCACACAAGCGTGCAATTCATGTTGCGTTACACGTATGTGTCACACCTGCTAAGGCGCGAATCAAGCGCAACTATACAATATATGTGCGAACCACAATATTCCTGACCTGACCAGATAGCTACCACACAAGACTAACTCCCTCAAAGTTCAAACAGTTACACCTGCCTGACTGACATCACTATAGTCACATCACACACACCTGACTGGCATCACTATAGTCACATCACACACACCTGCCTGGCATCACAATAGTCACATCACACACACCTGCCTGGCATCACTATAGTCATATCACACACACCTGCCTGGCATCACTATAGTCACATCACACACACCTGCCTGGCATCACTATAGTCACATCACACACACCTGCCTGACATCACTATAGTCACATCACACACACCTGCCTGGCATCACTATAGTCACATCACACACACCTGCCTGGCATCACTATAGTCACATCACACACACCAGCCTGGCATCACTATAGTCACATCACACACACCTGCCTGGCATCACTATAGTCACATAACACACACCTGCCTGGCATCACTAAGTCACATCACACACACCTGCCTGGCATCACTAAGTCACATCACACACACCTTCCTGGCATCACTATAGTCACATCACACACACCTGCCTGGCATCACTATAGTCACATCACACACACCTGCCTGGCATCACTATAGTCACACCACACACACCTGCCTGGCATCACTATAGTCACATCACACACACCTGCCTGGCATCACTATAGTCACATCACACACACCTGCCTGGCATCACTATAGTCACACCACATACACCTGTCTGGCATCACTAAGTCACATCACACACACCTGCCTGGCATCATAGCCCACCCAGAGCCCGGCAGCAGAGAGTGAAGGCGTTGGCCGGCTCGCCACAGCGGCCCTTCCTGGTGTCCGGGAGCTGGATGATGGAGGGAGGGAGGGGAAGGAAGCAGGAGAAAGCGGGGCAAATGTGAGTGAAACAGCTCCGCCTTGCCCACCGCAGAGGGTGAAAGCGTTGGCTCACTCGCCACAGCCGCCCTTCCTGGTGTCCATGAGCTGTGTGGCGGGAGGAGGGGGGAAGGGGGGAAGGTAGGAGAGGAGGAAAAGAGAAGGAAAAAGGGATGACTCAGGGTTGGCTAATCCCTGCTTAAAACGGCATGTAGAGAAGAGAGGATGATTCAGATGGACAGGTCAGACAGAGGAGGTGACAGGTCAGACCGAGGTGGCATGTGCGGAAGGTGGTTATGGGTGGGTGTGGAAGACCATTGAGAGCAGATTTGTTTGGCTGGACTGGATTAGTGTAAGCAATCAAGCACCCGTGGTGAGAGCACCGCCAGAGACGAGCAGTGCCATTGATAGATTCCAATTCGTTGAGAAACGCACCTCCGAGCCTCTTGAAGAGGACAGTAAGGACATTGTGCCTCCTTCCGGTTACCCTGGCAGGGTCCTTTTATGTCCTGCACGAAGCGAGGCACAGAGGTGACTTTTGAGTCGACTCACAAGTCACCTGATGGTGACTGGTAAGGCACACACCTGCCCATGTGCCTTGATCTGCATCTGTATCTGTCGCTGTGCCTTTTTCCGTACATGTATTCGTCTTGTGCCTCATCCGACATACCCTGGCAGGGTCGTTGTATCGCACGAGGCGAGCCACCAGGCTGCACTGCTTGCACCTGAGAGCGACACCCACCTCCACCACGCACACATCCAGAGCAAGAGAGCCACATGGAGGGAAAAGCGGGAGAACAAGGGCAAGGGAAGGCCTAATGAGAAGGGGAAGGGTGAGGAGGAGTCGGGCTCAGAATAGGCGAAAAGGGAGGGGGTAGGTACGTCAGTCCACCAAGGGAGGAAGGTGTGCCAAATTCATCCCATCCCACTCCTCCCTTCCCCTCCCTTCCCCTCCCTTCCCCTCCCTTCCCCTCCCTCCTCTCTCTCCCCTCCCCTCTGCTCGCCTTCCCTCCCATTTCCTTTCTCCCCTTCCCTTCTCTTTCCCTTTCCCTCACGTGCTTGCCCCCCCCCCCCCACATCAGGTCGTTAGTGAATGCCTACCCATTGCCGTGTAAAGCACAGGTGGGGGTAGTGCGGCAGTGGGGGTACTCGTCTAACCCTCCGTACTCCTCTAACCCTCCTGTGCCGAACCCCGCCCTCCCTCTCCCTCCCCTCCGCTCCCAGCCTTCCCCTCTCTTCCCTCCCCTCCCTTCCCCGCTCCCGCCTCACCTCCATCCGCTGTCCCCCCCACAGCAAGTCCTCGTTTGAAGGCGCGCCGCTGCCGTGGAAGGCACAGATGGGGGTGCGGCAGCGGGTAGGGGTGCGGCAGCTTAGACACTCCTAACACTATGCATCATACCCCCCTCTCCCCTCTTCCCCCACCTGTGCAGCTCGGCCCGCTGTGGAAGGAGTGCCGTTGCCATGGAAGAGAAGGCACATGTGGGGGAGCAGCAGTGAGGGTACTCCTCTCCCTCCAACTTATGCCTCACACACCCCCCTCCCTCCCCTCTTTTCCCCTCTCGTCCCTCACCTGTGCAGCTGCACGCGCTGTCCCCCCCACAGCAGGTCGTCAGGGGATGGCACAGGTGGGGGTGTGGCAGCGGGGGCACGGAGGGGAGTCCACCCATCTGCGTGCAAAGAGGAGGCAGAGGCGGGGGGAAGCGGGAGGGAGAGAGCACAAGGAGAGGGAAGGATATACGAGGGCAGGGAAGAACAAACGAGGGCAGAGGACAGACGAAGGCATGGAGACGAGGAACCGGCAATTCAAGGTTATGGTGACGGGTTGGTGAGGAGGAGGTGACGGGTTGGTGAGGAGGAGGTGACGGGTTGGTGAGGAGGAGGTGACGGGTTGGTGAGGAGGAGGTGACGGGTTGGTGAGGAGATAGGAGAAGAAGATGGTGGTGAGGGGGAGGGAGGATGGATGGGGATGACACGGGCGTCCTTCCCCAGCTTGCCGCACGCACTTGCTTTCCTCTCAGTCACGTGAAACTTTTACAGAGTAAACATCTGCACCGGCACTCCAATCAGCTGAACCGCACTGCAATCACCTGAACCAGGACTTGAACCAAACCAGCAGCTGCCTCAACGCAGCGTCACGGAATTCCCCTTTTGATGGCTGGTACTGGCATTGCTGCGATGGGCAATGGGAGGTGAGGGGGCTGACGGGACACAAGGGTGGTGACAACACAGTGTTAACACAGCACAGGGTAGACACTGCCTCCACACAGCTTCACGGAATACCCCCTCTGAAGGCTGGTACTGGCCTTGCTGATATTGGGATGGGGAGAGGACGAGGCAGGCAGACACAGAAGAGCAAGAGTGTTTCGAGTCGACTTAGAATATCACAGCAGCTGCCTCAACACAGCGTTACGGAACTCCCCCTTTGACGGCTGGTACTGGCCTTGCTGTGTGAGGGGGTGTTGGCACAGCTCAAAAGATGCAGCAGCGTGAGGCAAGGCATGTGCACGTTCAGACGCATACTATACGACTTTTGAGGCGCATAATATCACCTCCTTTTGAGGCGCCTCAAAACTCAAAAGATGCAGCAACGTGAGGTAAGGCATGTGCATATCAAGCGCGGTGGGTAGTAAACAGCTTTCGAGGCACCTCAGTAGCCGGGTGGTGTGCACAAGGTGCCGAGCAAGACATGTGGGTGTCTAGACGCACGGTGAACACACGAATATGCATGCACTGGAAAACGCCCTGACATCATTGCATGGCACATGGGTGCGATTAATAGCATGCAGGAACGCTGATAGATGGATGGAGGGGGGAGGGGGATGGATGGCACGATTCGCAGCAGGCCTGAGTAGGTGAGGCACAGTCTTCAGGAAGCAGTTGGAGGGGTGGGGGGAGGATGGAAAGGCCATGACTGCCAACAGGCAAGGGAAGATACTAGGTTTGCACAGCCCTTAGGGCGCGTGTCTTTTGGTGTAGATTGTCAAAGTTCGAGCCTGGTACCGCTTTGTACCGTGGCGACCCGTTTCTCAACTGTATCATACCGTGCACAACCTTTCTAGAAGTTCGAACTTTGGCAAAAGTTCGACCTCAAGGACACGCGCCCTTAGGTAGGCACAGGTGGAGGGTAAGTCCGAAACGGTGGGGTGTGGATAAGCTGGCTGGGATGATTTTTGAGGTGCCCTCAACATCAGAGGGAGTGAGGCCAAGCTAGTTAGCCTGTGCATCATGCAGGGGAACAGGCGGGGTGGAGAATAGTGTCATATCCGCCTCTCACGACACGATTGCCTTCCTCACAGGTACACCGTATGGCTATCATATACATACCCCTCACTACAGCTGACTTCTGACGCGCCCCAAAGCTTATTTCCGTCTCTCATCCCACCACTCAAAATACAACAGCTCCAGCCCTCTCTCGACTCTGTCATGTACCGACTCACCCATCCCTCCCTGTGGTGTAAGCAAAGCGCTTGCTCTCCATCTCCTTCATGCTCATCCCCATCCTCGATACCCCATTCCCCCTTTCCCCATCCATGCTCCCCCCGTCCCTACTCCCCCCGTCCCTACTTCCCCCGTTCCTTCTTCTTCCGCCCCTCCTTCCCCCGTTCCTTCTTCTTCCGCCCCTCCTTCCCCCGTTCCTTCTTCTTCCGCCCCTCCTTCCCCTGTTCCTTCTTCTTCCGCCCCTCCGTCCCCCGTTTCTGCGTCACACTCTTTCAGCGGAACTTCAACTTTCTGGGTCAGACAAAGCAGTGGCGAACTGCTGTTTTAGACGCCTCCAAACATTTTGGGCTGGGAAAAGTAGCGGCGAATCCACCTGCATGGTCCCACCTTCTTCTCCCCGTCCCTACTTTCTCACACTCACACCCCCCGCATCGCCTCACCTCCAGGCCCATTTTGAACCGCTCCTCGCCGAACACCACCGTCACCCCTCGCGTCGCCATCGCGGATAGCACAAACACCCGCTGCGCTGAACGGGCCGCGTGACGCACCCGCAACTTTGAAGAGGCTACAGACGTCAACTCGTGGTGCGCGAGCAACCGCTGACTGGGTGCGGCGAGTGACACAACGAACCGGCAGCCACGTGGTTCAGTTGATTCGACTTGAGTCCACCTTTGTGCAATCTGAAGCCTGCACCCCTAGTAGGTTGTATTTGTGGAAAAAGGAGAACCCGGGTCGCGAGAGTGAGTGGAAGAGCGCGAGGCAAGTCTCGGGAGAGACCGATGGCCTCGGTATTGTATTGCATGCGGAAGCTTGCCTTGCCGATGACACTTACTGTGGCAAGCCAGCTCGGGAAATCGTCGCTCTCGCAAGTTACTTGTGCAATAATAATTTCGTCGACAGAACGACCCACATCGTGAGTTGGTTTGTATCGACTGGAGTTCGGCCACCAACCAGTATCCACCACCAACACCCTGAGGTTGCCACTTCCGTCAATACCTAAATTTCGCTCCAAAACTAGCCAAACCTTCCCAACATCTCTCCGAAGCCAAACCAAAACAAACCCTACCACACCAAACCAACCAAGCCGAACCCAAGTGACCAAGCGAAGCCCCTCATTGCCGTGCCGACCAAACCTTGACAATTTGACCTTTCTTGCTGGTAGACCACCTCAGTGCTGACTACTCGCTACTCGCTCTTAGCGCATTTGCTGTAGCTTCGTTGCTCAGCCTCCAGCCATGATTCAGAGAGTGTTCTCCACGTCTATGGAGCTGGCAAAGCGGCGCTAAAACTCACAGCTTCGCCGGATTCAAAACGTTTTCCATACCACGCTCTTACAATGCTACTGATTCGGGACAACTCCTGAGCCAAGCCAGACGTTTGCAAACGGTTAAAAAATACAACGATACCCTGTTTCTTAATCAGAGCGGAGAAGCGTCACGCATGCGTCGCCGCCATTCCAACGTTCGTCTCTGAAGCGGCAAAGGAGGCGGTCTTTAGGGAAGCGTGGTGGAATAAACCGCTATCAGAAGACTTCTGCACGACAACTTGTTCTGGGTGCATCAGTTCCCAGTGCGATACTAATGACAACCCCTTAGCTGTAGCCTCGCGTTCGCGCCTGTACACACTGGCGGAGAAGTCTCAAGATGGAGTATTTTATACGTGCATTCATGACGGGACCAAAAAGTCGTACGACACTATGGGATGAGTTGACACTTCAAAACCCTCGACGCTTGACATCGGTACCCCAAGATCAGCCGATGATGGACGAGCGGAAACGAGCGGGGCGAGAGAGGGCAAGAGCTGCGGACCATGCAGAGAAGCTTCCGCTGCTGTGTCGGGCGGACATGGTTCACTACCTGGACGTGAGAGAAGCGTGGGGCTTGGCTGTGTGCGAGTGCTGCTTCAATCGAGCTGCGAGCCAGCGCACACAGCGCGCCCTCGACATGACGACTCTAATCAAATCCCGTTTTTACCTGCGAGAAAAGCAGCCTGAGTCCATCCCCCTCGCTCCCAACCGTCCGACCCGGGCTATGTACGAGTTTTCGTTAAAGGTTCCTCTGCCAGAGGCAGCAGCGCACCTAAAAGCGCCACCTCACATGCATTTTCAAGTAAAGTGTGATGTAGCCCCTTTGCTGTGTGTGGAAGCGATGCTTCTCGAGTGGCTGGCTGAGCCTCGTGTGGGCGTGCTCATGGACCTGGGGGTGGTCAGATCTCGTCTGCCTGCTATTCTAAGTGCCGCACATGTCCCTACTACTAGAAAAGCTTCCCCTGCTGCTGCTTCTGGTTCCTCTGTTGGAGCCACTCCAGCTGGGTCCTGCTGCTGGCGCTGCAGCAGCTGCTGGGCTGCCGACCGCCGGGCCGTCAGCTTCGCTGCCTCCCTCGTGCTTGTAACGAGGTGCCCGCGGGTTGTGACTCTATGCAGGGCTCATGCGGCAACTTCGAAGGCCTATCCAGCCATTGTGACTGCGCTAGGGGCACGCAGGCAGAGAGAAAATGACATTTTTGCTTCCATGCTGGTTCAGATCCTCGGTATGAAAGAAACCCAAGACCTGGAGGAAGGATTTGGTGCTCTCATGCAGAATCTGCTGTCTGGTGGACTGGAGAAGGCGCATGCAGAGAAGGAAGGGAGAGGGGGGACAGGAGTTGGAGGGCAGATGGAGAATGATGGGAATGAAGAAGGGTCATGGATGGACGGCGGTGGCAAGGATGGTAGGGATGGGAAGGGCGGGCAGTGGAGGGAGCATCTGAAGGGGCGTGAGTGGGAGAGGTATGTGGATGGCATGGCTTGGATTCTGCAGCATGGAGGGGGGGAAGGGAGGGGGTTCCGGTGCAGCCACTGCAGTGAGGGGGAGAGCAGCAGCAGCAGCAGCAGCAGCAGCAGCGGCAGCAGCAGCATTGGTGGCGGTAGCTGCAGCAGCAGTGTGGGCGCGGCGACATTTCCCAAGGGCATGTGTGTGAGTGGCGTGGGTGCGACCGACTTTGCTCTTTCCGTTGCTGCTGTGCTGTCCACGCCAGAGTACTGCAAAGAAAGTGACTTGTACTTCCGAGACGGGAACGCTGCGAGCAAGACACGGGTGGAGGATGCAGCCATTGAGACGGCCAGGGAGAGGCTGAGCAGGATGGCACGGGGTGAAGGAGGGGCAGCAGGCAGAGCTGTGGGAACAACAGCATCAGCACTTCCACCAGCATCAGCACTACCACCAGCATCAGCACTACCGCCAGCATCAGCACTACCGCCAGCATCAGCACTACCACCAGCATCAGCACTACCACCAGCATCAGCACTACCGCCAGCATCAGCACTACCACCAGCATCAGCACTACCACCAGCATCAGCACTACCGCCAGCAGCATCAGCAGTACCACCAGCATCAGCAGTACCACCAACATCAGCACTACCACCAGCAGCATCAGCACTACCACCAGCATCAGCAGTACCACCAGCAGCATCAGCACTACCACCAGCATCAGCAGTACCACCAGCAGCATCGGCACTACCACCAGCATCAGCAGTACCACCAGCATCAGCAGTACCACCAGCATCAGCAGTACCACCAACATCAGCACTACCACCAGCATCAGCATCACCACCAGCATCAGCATCACCACCAGCATCAGCATCACCACCAGCATCAGCATCACCACCAGCATCAGCATCACCATCAGCAGTGGCAGCGGCAATTGCCAGCCCAACTCCTGTGAACACAAACCCTGTCGTTGCAGTCTTCACGTATCGTGCTGCCTGCATTCTGCGGTGGGCTCGCACCTATGGCTCCGAAATCGTCCCTGCTAGGGATGAGCAAGGTGGCGAACACCTGTTCGGTTCGCCTCGAACACGTTCGAGGCGAACCGAACAGGTTTTGTTTTTTAGCTCAAATCGTTCGCCGAACAGTGTTCGATGTTCGCCCGAACACATTCGTGTTCGGGCCGCTGCTGAAATTTGCCCGCGACGAACACGAACAGTGTTCGAGGTTCGCCCGAACACGCCTCCACAGGCGAACAGCGAACACCTGTTTTTTCCTAAACTGTTCGCCGAACCGAACAGTGTTCGGTTCGGCAAAAGAGGGTGTTCGACAAGGGGCGAAGACGAACATGTTCGTGTTCGCCCTTTGCTCATCCCTAGTCCCTGCTAGTCAATGCTGCAAGGTCAGCCCCCAGGGGAAGGTCCGGCCCATGCGTCACCCGCTTCGGGACCTTCCGAGCCTGCTGGTCAGGCTCGGCGCCATCCCCAAGCCTCTGGACCAAGGCGAGTTTCCCTTGGAGTGGGAAGAGTGGCCTCGGGGCGAGGAAGCTGCCGCGAAACTTCCTGATAACGCCAGTGCGAGGTTCTTCCACCTGGGGATTGTGGAGGAAGCGAAGGGGACAGCAGGGGAGCGTGGGGCAGGAAAGAAGGGCGGACAGGAGTCACATGCAGGAGGCAAGATTGGGACCACGAGGGGGAAAGGAGACAAAAGGAGGCGCAAGCAGGAGGAAAGGAGCAGAGGGCGTGGGGAGGAAGAGAGAGTTGGAGGAGTGGAGTGTGACTTAGACGAGAGGCTGCTACAGCAGCTGCTCACAAGGCTACAGCCGCTAGTGCAGAGGAAATTCCCCATCGTTCGCTGCACTGCCGATGCCGAATTCCTTTTGGAATTTGCCGGGCATATGGTGAAGCCACCTGCATGTGCTGAGTGCAAGCAGTGCCTTGCTGTCTACACCCATAACATCCCCTTCCTCGCGCTCATTGCCAACTACGCCTACCGACCTGCCACCATCCTTTTCAACCGCTTTGTATCCATCTTCCCTCCTCTCTCTCCCGAATTCGGCCAGCTCGCTGCTCGTATAGGTGTGCCGCCTTTCCCTGCCAGCGTGCCTGGCTTTCTAAGGTCCGCTCTGGTGCAGACTCAGGCAGAGCTCGACCCTGTGCTCTTCCTCTTGGCCGTGGCCCACAAATGGGCCTCCCCCATCCTGGGAACCACTGACCGCACGTACCTGCACAGGCCGCGAGACGGAAAGGAAGATGACGGGAGGGTGTGGGAGGAGGTGCAAATGTGGTGCCGGGCGGTGGAGTTGGCATGGCAGGGCGGCATGGAGCTGGGGGCCGCCGCATTGCGTTGGAAATGCAAGGGAAAGAGGGAGTGGGGCGGCTGGTTTGGAGTGGAGAAAGAGGAGATTACGAGTGACAAGTGGCTTGACCTGTGGAAGAGGGCTGCCATTCCCAGGTTCTGTGAAGACATTGAAAGGGAGAAACGGTTTTCTGAAATTACCAGTGGGAGCAGCAATCGCAGCGACTGCTCCGGAAGAAGAAGCTATCGTCGTGGGAATGGATGGACGAGGGGTGCTGATGGGAAGGGCAAGCAGGGGGAGGAGCCGGCGCATTTGAAGCCATGGCCAGGGGGATTCAATTTGCTGGCTTGTCTGCGAGAGATGCTGCTGGGGGAGCCGTGCTACCGCCCTGCCTCCCCTGTTGACCCTTCATCCACCCGTGCTGCTGGTAGCACAGAAACACTGCTGAACAGCACAGTTGCTGGTAAATCAGCTCCTGAAGGCCCCGTTCGGCAGAGAAAAACCGGCGCAGAAGACTGTAATTCTGCTCGTTTGGGAGGGGCTGTGTGTGGTGCTCTGGGGTGTGAGATGTCAAAGGGGTAGCCCCGAGCGTGCTTGCATCCCGCAATGGATTAGGTCTGAAACAATGAGGCACCAATGTCAAGCTTTGCATAAGAAGCTACAACACACTCACTTACACCTGTGCAGAGAAGAAAAATCCCGGAAAGAAACAAGAGTGCAAGGAAATATTTTTTAGTCATTTCATAAAAAAAAGCTCAGTGAAAAGAAAGGGTATGACCAATGCAATAACTGCTGCTGCAGAAGGCGCATGACTGGCAGCAAACACAGCAGCACGCAGCAGCAAACATGCCAACAAACTCCATACACACCCTCCTCCTTGTGGGCACGGTTGAGATTTCTCAGAAGTGCCACAAGGAGGATGACTGGCAGCACGCACAGCAGCACACAAGCCAACCCTAGCATCGTGAAACTCAGATCCACGCACACCTTTATTGTGGCGCCTCAAAGGATTTCTACAAGTGCCGCACAGGAAGGATGACTGGCAGCAGGCACAAGAGCACGCACAGCAGCAACGCAGCAGCACGCATAGCAGCAAGTACAGAAGAAAACAGTCCAGCAATTCACAAAGGAAATTTCACATACCCTCGTCCTTTGCTGCATGCCAATACAAGCTTGGCCTGTGATGCCACCAGTCAATGAACGAGGCCTTGCGACCACAACGGGATGTGATGCCTCCAGTCAGACGACCTTTCCTTACACCTGCACTGCTCACCCACTCCCCTTGCTACTCCCCTTGCCACTCCCCTTGCCACTCCCCTTGCCACTCTCTTAACCATTCACCTTGCCACTGCTGCTGCCACCAGTCCAGCCGCTGGTCCTGCCGGGGCATGTGAGCTAATGGAAGGGCCAGTGCGCCTTTAGGCGCTTTCTGCTGCAATACGCCACCTTGCCACACCCACTCTCAGCTTCACCCCACCACCACCCCCCACCGTCCACACCCTACAGCAATGTTGCTGCTGCTGCTGCCATCCTCACTGCAGTGGCTGCACCGGAACCCCCTCCCTTCCCCCCCTCCATGCTGCAGAATCCAAGCCATGCCATCCACATACCTCTCCCACTCACGCCCCTTCAGATGCTCCCTCCGTTGCTCATCCTTCTCCGCCATGTAATCAGCAGCACCCAGTCTCCCCACTGCACCAACAGCTCCCCCTCTCCCTTTTTCCTCTGCATGCGCCTTCTCCAGCCCGCCTGACAGCACATGCTGCACACAACCCAAACCCTTCCTGCAGATCAGCACTCTCCTTCATGGACGCAGCGCAATCATTCTCCGCCTGCCTACGCGCCCCCAGCTCGGTCGATACAGCATGGTAGGCCAAATCCCGAGACTCTATGCGATGCGATTCTTCCACAGAGTCAGTCACAAAGTGGGAAGATCTTGCTACAAGCACGAGGGAGGCAGCGAAGCTGACGGCACGGCGGTAGGCAGCCCAGCAGCTGCTGCAGCGCCAGCAGCAGGCCCCCGCTGGAGAGGCTCCAGCAGGGTCGGGGGCAACAGCAACAGCAGGGGCATGTGCACCAGCGTCCCTGCACGCTCGGGCATCTGTACTGGCGTCTACAGCAGCCAGGATGGCCCGCAGGCGGGATCTGATCCTCCCCAGGTCCATGAGCACGCCCACACGACGCTCACAGCAAGGGCGCTCGCACTTGCAACAGAACTGCACCTCAGGCCGCTCCCTCCCTCTGCTGCTCCTCCCCAAACGCGAGGACGCTCGAGGAGAACTCACTCGAGAGCAGCCTTGAATTGGAGGACAGAAACCTTATTTGTTGGGAGCCAAGGGAACAGACTTCAGCTCGGCTTGCATATTTCATCCCAGAAGGCTGTTCATGTAGACCCCGCACTGAGCCCTGCAGAAAACTGCCCTGCGCGCTCCAAGCAGCATTCGCACTCACGCGCACCCCAGCCTCCCTCCCCATATCCGCCATATCCGCCCGACGCAGCAGCAGCTGCAGCTTCCCACGTGACTCTGTTCCTTCCACTCTTCCTATCCCCCCCTGCCTCGTAAACACTTTTGTCTTTCCTGCTCCGACCGCCGCCTGTGCTAGAAACTTCCACCTTCTCACACCACAGCCTCCTCGCGCTTCTTCCACAACTCACTGTATGTGCCTAAGATGCCATTGAACGCACCTGCACCACAGCCGTCTCTCGCCTAACTTCTCCAACGAGATTATTGGTGTTTCTTCTTGCTCCACCACTCCCTCCTCCGTCTCTCTTCCCCGTCGGTACCCCCTCTTCGTCATCACTGCTACAGTACAGTCCATGTCGTCCCACTTGCTGTAGTCGATCCCATGTGGCCTGGCGGCAGCAGCAGCAGCAGCAGCAGCAGGAGCAGGAGACTTCTGAATCGTCACGGCGGTACTGGAGTCCATGTGGGGAATCGTCACGAATGCCCCCCCTTGTTGTAATCCATTACAATTACACGCGGCGTGGCGCGATGATTGCGGCCGGAAGAGGAGCAGCAGGCTGCAGTAGGTCCGACTCCGACAGCAGGTGTGCGGTGGTGGTGGAGATAGTAGGAAGAGTAGCAACGGCCGCAGCAGGTGCAGCAGCGGGACGGGACCAGTCACACACACCCTCTGCAGTTCCTTCCTTGCCTTTACCATGCCCGCCTTCGCCTTCCAAGCGCGGTTCAATTTTCACGGGAAGAACTCTGATGGTAGGTGGATCCGGACCACAGCTTCGCGTGCTCTTGAATCGACTCAGCTTCGCTTGCTCTTTGCTCTGCAGTGGAATGAAGAAATGCACACACCGCCTGACCTAGGATCATGAACCGAACCGGCTGCTTCCGAACCTTCGAATCCCTTTGTTTCGCGTTTTCACCGTCTTGTGTTTCCTGAGCTGACATGGAGGGAATGGTAGGCAGCAGTTGGAACGACGGGACTCAAGATGCGCGTTACAGACTGATTCGAGAGACTCACCTGAAGACACAGCGAGGTGAAGGCCCACGTGGTCTGATGATAACGATAGAGGTAAGCTTTTCGGAATGGCTGTCAACGAAGCTACAGGCGACGTTTACCACCGCGGGTGCACGATTCAGCCAGCGCTTCGCTTTCAGGCTCGCCTGATACGCACCAAATTAGACCCGCTGGGACCCTGAATCGGATACGAGAAGCAGTGGAAGCTTGTCCAACAAATTCAAGTTACTTATCGTGGTTCAGGCATTGGCAAGGCAAGGTACCGCATGCGATATCAACTCGATGCGATTGATCTTTCCAGAGACCTGCCTGCCTGCCTCGCGTTTCTTTTCTCACTCACCGCAATTATTCCGGGCCGAGCACAACTTAGTGGTAGTGCACCAAGCGTTTCAGACTGCACCAAGTTGGATTCGACTCAAATCAGCTTGAACCACGTCGCTTCCCTTCCGGTGTGTCACTCGCCGCACCCAGGCAGCGGTCGTTCGCGCGCCACGTGTCGAGATCCGAAGCCTTTTCGAAGTTGCGGGTACGCCACGTGGCTCGTTCAACGCGGCGGGTGGGCTACCGGCGATGGCGGCGATGGAAGTGGAGGTCGATATGGGGGTGGAGGTGAATCGATGGGGAGGGGGGTTGTGGGAAGGAGGGACGGCGGGACTAGGGATGGCGGGAGTAGGCCGGCAGGGGTAGGGACGGCAGAAGCATGAATCGGGAAAGGAAGGATGAGGGAGAAATAGAAGTGGCGGGATAGGAATGCGACGATGAGGATGGCCATGAAGGGAAAAGGAGTATGCCACGTGGACCCTGTGACCTGTCACAAGCAGCAACGCCAGGAGTCGCACCGCCTCCACCAACCCAGCAACCTGCAATCAGACGAGAAAGAGGAAGAGGAAGAAGACAAAAAAAAAAAAGGCAATGTTGTTGTGACGCAAAAACTCAATCAACAAGTTATGTCTCTGTTGTATATAAAGAGTGGTGCGTTATATCATATCGTCAATCCCTTCGCGTAATGTTTCAAAAGGACGCGATTCTCTGAAAGAAACATGGCATTCTTTTCTCGCGTTGGGCTGACCCACCTGCTTCTGCTGGTCGAATTCCGGCAAGGGAGCGCAGAACATGGCAAGCAACATCGCACTGCCCCGCCTGCTCCTGAACCGCCTTCCAGTTGACTCTGAACGACTCCAAGGACTCCTCGTCCTGTCATGGATGGCGAACGAGAGGAGAGAGAGGGGGAGAGTAGAGAGAGGAGAGAGAGGGGGAGAGTAGAGAGAGGAGAGAGAGGGGGAGAGTAGAGAGAGGAAAGAAAGAGGAGAGAAAGAGCGGAACGAGGAGAGGGACGAACGACTGATGGTTGAGAGGACTCCGTAGGAAGAAACATGGCGAAATGAGCTACACCGCTTGCTAATAAGACGCGAATCAGTCAACTGCAAAACAATTTCAATGACTCCTCGCCCTGCCATGGATGGGCAAGAGAAGGACGAATGCTGAGTCAATTTGAAAGGAATGCGGAACATGGCGACATTTTGGGAAAGGGAAAACGAGCACTGGCGACATATAGTTTTCACCCGACTATGGAAAATAAAGAAAAAAAACATACACAAAGTAAGAAACCACTGGCGACATTTATTCGTCCTGCTTGCTCGTGAACAGCCTTTCAGTAAATGCCGAACGACTCTAGTTATTGTGCGTGCGTGCTAATTCGTTTTGTGTTCAGGCGTTTACCACGCATCGCTCTGTAAGCTCCTGAGCGACACTCCATTGTCACGCCAAAGACTCCAGTAAATTCCAGATAATATTTCTGAACTTGTTGAAAGTCGGTACGTCAAATACGCAATAAGCAGCAGCGGGTCAATGGGCACAGCAGTCTGTTCGTGCGTTTCCGACTCTGCTGCGGTTGCGAGCATTGCTCGAGCCCAAGCAAACCAATCCCGAGGACGAAAACGGACGATAAAATAAAGGTCGACAGGGCGCGTGAGGGGGTACAGTATTCCATGCGAAACAAACAAAAAGCAGAAGCATACACATCAAGAAAACGCATGCCAGTGAAGCAGCGGGATGCTGTTGCGGTGTACGTTCGGGAAAATCAAGGTCTGATTTCCTCGACAACTGCAAAAAGTCATTGTGGAAACCACGCATCTGCTACACGCGTCTGTAACCAACCAGCTACATAGACACATCACATTACTACCCAATGTCCCTGCGATCCCACCCCCGCTACAGTCACACACCTGCAAGGACAGAATCGCGGTGCAGGTTGTCGCATGTGTCAGCATCATAACGTCCTCGGAACCCACGGACACGTCCTCCACACCCCACCATCCCCAACCTCCCACCCTCTCCCTCCCACAGCTCACTCTCTGGAGCGAGTGGGACAGCAGCAGAGAGGAGGACGAGGGGAGGAGAGTGGAACGAGGGGAAATTGGGAAGAGAAGGAGGGGGGAGGAGGGAACCGTGCGGGGCGGAGAGAAGGCGAGGGAGAAGTGGGGTTGAGGCGGAACGGAGGCTCCGCCTACATGCGCAGCACCTTTTACAATAACGGAAAGAGAACGGGACGAGTGGGGGGGGGGGGGGGGGGGGGGGGGGGAGGGGGAAGAGGGGGGGAGAGGGAGAGGGGAAGAAGCGAATGCGGTAGAAGTGGAGGGGGTCACAGACAGGCCGGAGAGGTGCGCGGACTGGTAGACGGCGGAGTGGTGAAGCAGGCGAAGCTTGGAGCCCGCCACGCGCAGCAGCTGCGTCGGATCCCCCGCGCGCCGAGCACGCTGATACGCGCGGCGCTCGGCGCGCTTCTTCGCCGCGTCCATCATCTCGTGCACGCGCTTCTCCGACCGACGCGCCTCGTGCCACATGATGTCTACGATCGTAGTTTGGACTGCAAAGAAAAAAAAAATAAGAACTCTGATGCTCCTTATATTTTTTTCGAAGAGGAAAACGTGGAATTAGAATTGCACTATTACGATGCAGGCGATCGAGAGTAAGATGCGATGGTCCCGTCAGTGTCTATACCACGCCTCCTGTGAACAGACAGACGAACCAGACGTCTTTCCCTTAAAGGCCAAACCCCGAATTACTCAAAGCTGGTCAACTCGGTAAACCTAAGGGCGCGTGTGATCTATTTTCAAGTTCGGAAAAAAGGTCCAGCGTTGTGTGGTGACCAGGTTCGCTAATGTCGTCAGGAAGCTTTGGCGAAGGCATGAGAATTTTGGGGCACATAAGTTCGAATGTCAAATGTGAACTCAACTCGAATCACACGAGTGAACGTGCGGGTGCACGTGAGGCGAGTGTGTGTTGTTTTCAGCACGTACGAAGGCCATCCGAAAATCACGACCGCTTTGCGAAGGTCGTTGAGCTTCGTTGGGCATTACGTTAACTTGTCGCGCTGTACCAGGTAACCTACTCCCCTACGGGCGGCTCGCCGCCATCCCTAAAAGGTCGAATCTCTGTGTTCGACCTTGGGTGTGTGATTGTGACTCGTCTGTGTTGGAGACCCAAGATTCGAACTTAGCTGGAAAGAATGTCGACCTTTTGTTCCGATGCTACATTCGACCTTAAAACATAAACTTTCACAAATTTGTAAGACCACACGCGCCCTAAGTTCGGGAGGAGGTTGGGGGAATGGTTCGGAACAAAAGCGAACGCAATGATTCGCGAAAAGAATGGGCGAAAGCAAAGTGAATCGCAACACTGGGCCCCAAGCAACCGCCCCAAACTGGAAAGTCAATGCCTTAGCTGAATTACCGTCACGCCACCAAACTGTTGGGCACAGCCTAAGTCACTCGACAGGCCGAACAGCAGGGGAAAACCGCGACGCTCCAGTTCCTATCTGGTTCCACGCAACGAACGACGACGACAGTCATGACGACGACTCCCTCACTCAATGTGAGCGTTTAGGGAAAGAACATAGCTCAAGGAGCACCATAGCATTCAAGATGCCACGCCACTATTAGAATTGGGAGAATAGATGCGAATGTGAGAGCACGAGTCGCGTAGGGAAAACGTCTGGGGGATGTGAGAGCCAGAGTCGCGTAGGGAAAACGTGAGGCGAATGTGAAAGCAAGCGTCGCGTAGGGAAAACGTAAGGCGAATGTTAGAGCAACAGTCGCGTAGGGAAAACGTGGGGCGAATTTGACAGCAACAGTCGCGTAGGGAAACCGTTTGCAGAATGTGAGCGCAGGGGTCGCGTAGGGAAAACGTAGGGCAAATGTGAGCGCAAGAGTCGCGTAGGGAAAAGGTGAGAGCAAGAGACGCGGAGGGAAACCGTGAGTCGAATGTAAGAGCAAGAGACGCGGAGGGAGGGCGAGACGCGCATGCGAGAGCAAGATACGCGGAGGTAATACGTGAGGCAAAGGTGAGAGCAAAAAACGCGGAGGTAAAACGCGAGGCGCTTCAGGGAAAGCGAGAAACGCGGAGGGAAAACGTATTCGCAAATGCGAGAGCAAGATGCGCGGAAGCAGGGAAGGGGGAGGCGCATGTCTCTGGCAAAAAACGCGGAGGAAAAACGAGATGCGCATGTGAGAGGATGAAACACGTAGAGAAACGAGACGCGGATGTGAGAGGATGGAGGGCGGAGAGATGACGGGAGGCGCATGCGAGAGGAAGAAGGGGGCGAGGGAAACGTGTGAGGCGCGTGCGAGAGGAAGAAGAGAGGAGGGAAAACGTGAGGCACATGCGAGGGGAAGAAGAGGGGGGGGGGAAACGCGGGGCGCATGTGAGAGGAAGAAGAGGCAAGGGGAAACGTGAAGACCATGCTAGAGGAAGAAGTGAGGGGGGGAAACGCGAGGCTCACGCGAGAGGAAGAAGAGAGGAGGGGAAACGTGAGGTGCATGCGAGAGGAAGAAGAGAGGGTTTGAAAAGTGAGGCACATGCGAGAGGAAAAAGAGAGGGGAAACGAGAGGTGCATGCGAGAGGAAGAAGAGAGGAGGGGAAACGTCAGGCGCATGAGAGAGGAGGAAGAGAGGAGGGAAAACGTGAGGCGCAGTAAAGAGGAGGACGAGAGGACGAGTAACCGGACGGCGCATGTGAGAGGAAAAGGAGAGGAGGGGAAACGTCAGACGCTCGACAGGGGAAGAAGAGAGAATGGGAAATGTGAGGCGCATGCCTGAGGAAGGGGAGAGGGGGGAAACGTCAGGCGCATGAGAGAGGATGAAGAGAGGAGGGGAAACGTCAGGCGCATGAGAGAGGAGGAAGAGAGGAGGGAAAACGTGAGGCGCATTCAAGAGGAGGACGAGAGGACGAGTAACCGGACGGCGCATGTGAGAGGAAAAGGAGGAGGGGAAACGTCAGACGCATGAGAGAGGAAGAAGAGTGACTGGGAAATGAGGCGCATGCCTGAGGAAGGGGAGAGGGGGGGAAACGTCAGGCGCATGAGAGAGGATGAAGAGAGAGGGGAAACGTCAGGCGCATGAGAGAGGAGGAAGAGAGGAGGGGAAAGGTGAGGCTCATGCGAGGGGAGGCAGAGAGGGGGGGGAGACGAGGCGCACGCGAGAGGAAGAAACTCGGAGATCAAACGAAATGCGCATGCGAATGAGAGGAGGGGAAACGTGAGGTGGATGTGAGAGGTACAAGAGAGTGGGGGAAACGTGAGGCGCAGGTGCTGAGGAAGGGGATAGGAGGGGAAACGTGAGGCGCGATAGGAAGAAGAGAAACGTGAAACGTGAAATCCCCCCTGCTCTCTTCAATTTGCCGGTGCCAATTTTCTCAAAACACTTTCTTTAACTAGAATTCGAGAAAACAGAAAGGTTGAAAACGGCTAATTGTAAGGAAAAACCTTTTTTCCTTTCGCGTCCACGCTCAGCGCGTACACCACTGTAGCACCACAGTCAGCACCGTTACCACTCGCAAACCCTCGCATCGACAATCCTCCCGCCACCTTCGCACGTCGCACCCCGACCTCACGGCTAGGCGGGTAACCCGCGCTCCGGGCCTCCGCTTCGACATTTTCCCAAACCTCAGTCCCAGGCCCGTCGCGCGACAACCACAGTCCATTACCGTTACCAATGTAGTTTCGCTATATATTCTTCGCTCATGCCTTCGCTCATTGTACTCTTGCTTCGATAGTGCAATTCTCGCTCGCTCACTCAATGTAACACTTCGTTATCAGAGCCTACGATCTCTTCTCGGACCGCACCCAGACCTTCGCTTCCTCACTATCTCAATTTTTTGGGGGGGGGTAGACGTCTCTCAGCGACACAGCACCGCCGCTCGTAGTGCTCTTTCGTAAGCACGCACGGCCACGACAGAGGCTCTCGCTGAGCTTGCCCGACACCCCCGCCATGGCCGAATTCACGCTCGCAACGTTGACGCAGAAGCAGCTTGACCGTCTGGTGCGCCAAGTTGAAGAATCGGCGCTTGAAATTGCGACGCTCACGGCGGAATGTGACTCCGCGCGTCAGCAATCAACGGCGAACATTCCAGCGCCACAACACGTACCGACAAACGCATCTGCACAATCGGACAAGCCGATCGTCATTTCGTCCGGCACACCAACACAACACGACAGCGTGGGACAGCGCTCAGGCGCAGCCAGTGATGGCGTCGCCCAGCCGATGCCTGGCATGGGAGGAAACAAGGTCGCACCAAGCCCGCGGGAGCCTCGTGAAGCCCGTCGGCACGTGGAGTTTGCGGCAACAAGCTGCGAAACAGCGACGGGCCAAGCCCGAAACAAGCCGCGTAAGAGCGCGGTGTCGGTGCGCCACTCAAAGTCAAGTGTCGGTGCGCAGAAACAGCGACGGGTCGGCAGTAGAGGGAGCAAACCCAAGAGCCGCAAGCGTAGTCCTCAGTGTGTCGTGCCACTCACGTGGCGCCTGGCGGAGACCGTAGACCGGCCGCCGGAGGCTCCACTTGGTACCAGGAGGAAACGACCCCGTAAAGCCAGGTGGGCGGCGCAGCCAGATCTTCTCGTGCAGGCTGCCCTGCAAGAAAGCTGTGCTAAAATCAAGAGAGTGACGCTCGTAGTCACGCTGAGCAGCAACGTGCAGTAGCACCCAAAGAGTGGTCATCTTCGGGGTGGGGGAGAAGGTCTGAAAGAAGTCTACTCCCTCTCGCTGACTGAAGCCTCGAGCAACGTAACGAGCCTTGAAGACAGACGGAGAACCTGGCAGCCGCTTCACCCTGACAATCCACATGCCACTGACGATGTTCGCCCTAGGAGGGGGAACCTCGTCGACGTAAGTGCCAGTGGACTTCCAGGATGCCATCTCTGTGTCCATGGCTGACTGCCACTAAGAGAAGTACTCACCCGTGATCGCCTTAGGGTAAGAGCGCGGGGTCGGGATGTCTGGTGCATCCGGGTCACCCTCAGGGGCAAGCAGCATGGACACGAGATGAGGTGTAGTGGCTGCAAGACACTCAAGGTCCTCTTGTTTGTCCTCAAGAACGTCCGTGCCTAGAGCACACTCACCCCCGACGGACGGAGGACAGACAGACTCAGACTCAGCAACAAGACTCGCGGCGTAGTCTAGACGACAGCGAGCAGCAAACTCAACAAGCCCACCAACTAGGGCAGACGCAGCAGCAGACTCAAAGGAAGGGTCAGTGGCAGTAGTGGCCAGGAGACGCGTGACAGTAGGACTAGCAGCACGAAGAGAGTCAGACTCCGGGTCATCAAGAACAGGAAGAGAGGACGTAGGAGGAGACGGCAGAGGGACACGCTGTGGAGCAGTGGAAGGACGCTGAGTCATATAGTGTGTGCCAGGGATAGGTGGAGGACGCTCACGCGGAACACGGCGACCAGTGCGAGCAGCATGAACAGGTGACACAGGACGAGACACAGGCGACACAGGACGAGACTCAGGCTCATGACGCTCTGTAAGACCGCCTGTCGGACCAGTGTAGGGAGAAGGACCAGGAAGTGGTGAGGCAGGCGGTAGCTGTGACTGCGACTGGATAGGCGGAGGACACTCTAAGGAGGGAGGAGGACTAGGAGGAGGCGGCTGACCAAGAACCTGCTGAACGAGCGGAACGAAGTACGGCCGCGTCCGTGAAGTGCCCCCAGAAGCAGTAGAGACAGCACTAGAACCTCCAGCCGAACCAGCACCAGCAGCACCTCCAGCAGCTCCAGAACCTCCAGTAGCACCAGCAGCACCTCCAGCAGCTCCAGTACCTCCAGCAGCAACAGGAGCACCTCCAGCAGCTCCAGCACCTCCAGCAGCTCCTCCAGCAGCACCAGCACCAGCAGCACCTCCTGGACCTCCAGGACCTCCAGTAGCAGCAGGGCCTCCAGCTGGTGGTACCTCAACACCAGGAGCTCCACTCCGGAGGCTGTAGCGCCGAGCGTACCACTCACGTAGCCGCTGAGGGGAGGGAGGCTCCGGCTGCGACACTGCACCCGCAGGGCCACCAGGCTCAACTCCAGCAGACCCCCTAGCTCCAGTAGCCCCACGATGGAGGCTGTAACGCTGGGAGTACCACTCACGCAGCTGCTGTGAAGAGGGAGCGCCAACATGCGCAGTACGATCAGTCTCAGAACCCCCGGTCTCAGCTCCTCTAGGCTCAGCACCCCTAGTCGCAGCACCCCCAGGCTCAGCACCCGCAGTCTCCGCACCCCTAGACTCAGCACCCCCAGTCTCCGCACCTCCAGGCTCAGCACCCCTAGTCTCAGTACCCCCAGACCCAGCACCACCAGGCTCAGCACGCTCAGCACCTCGCGAAGGACCAGAGTCAACAGCTACCTCGACAGGCTCGACCGGGTCTACCTGGGAAACACCTGAGGGAGCTGTCAGATGATTATATTACTGATGCATATATATATTTAGGCTGTAGTGGGGTAGCCCATAGGGGGTACAACCCAATTAGGGTTGGTACTTGTACTTGTTTCATTTCATAGTGCATGTGGATACTAGAACGAGAATGAATGAACTATGAGTGAAGTGAGTACAAATAGCAAAACCCTAATTGGGTTGTACCCCCTATGGGATACCCCACTGTAGCCTACACAACAGCATAAGCTACATATATGTTCTGACACACCCCCATAGGCAAAGTGGGGGAGAACAAGGGGTCACAAGACCAGTCAAGCAAAGCAAAGCAAAGCTCAGGGTGGATCACAAAGTCACCACACAGTCCGAGCACAAGAGCAAGGCCACAAGGCCAGTTCACATGCAGGAGTACACACATATATATATAAAGCTAGACAAGCAAGAGCAGGTATATATATGTGACAGTATAAGTAAAGTGAAGAGGAGAGCAAGTGAGGCAAGACAGGCACAAGACCCAGCTGGGTGCAGAAGCGCTGATGGTCACAAGGCGCGAGTGCCTTGGTGAACACATCAGCAGTGTTGGCCTCAGAGGCCACGTACGCAAGCCGCAACTGTCCACGCTGCTGTAGCTCACGAGCAAGGAAGTAGCGAAGAGCAATGTGCTTCGTTCTGTGCTCCAGACGCAACTCTCGACACAAGGCCAGCATGGCCTTGTTGTCTACGTACAGCACTGGAGGAGAACGAGGCGGCTCTCCAAGGTCAGTCAGCAGGTAGGTGAGCTAGCGAAGCTCCTGTGCAGCCATGGCCCCTGCGTAGATCTCAGCCTCACAACTCGAGCTGAGAACCGAAGACGAGCGAGTAGCCCGCCACGAGACAGAGCCGGAGCCAAGGCTGAAGGTAAAACCCTGTGACGTCCGCTGCGTAGCCTGGTCGTCAGCCCAAGAAGCGTCCGCGTGACCTGTAAGTACCACTGGACTCCGCCCTCCAAGCACTAGCCCCATGCCCGAGGTACTGCACAGGTAGCGCAATACCCTCTTTGCTGCAGCCATGTGCTCTGGTCGGTGTCTCCCAGGAGCAACATAGCGTGCAAGAATGCTAAGAGGGTATGCAAGGTCAGGTCGTGTGCAGGTCATCAGGTACATGAGGCAGCCAACAAGCTCTGGGTCCGGGCCACTCGACTCTACGGACTCATCCGAAGGCAGAGCTGAGAGCGAGTGACGAGTAGACAGAGGAGTGGCCTGAGGCGAGGAGTACGTGAAGCCGAAGCGCTGAAGGACCTGCTGCACCATGTGTGACTAAGTCAAGGTAATGGTGCGGCGTGCTCTGTCCCGAGTGATCTGCAAGCCAAGGTAGCTGCGCAGTTCACCCAGGTCTGTGCATGTGTGTCTCTTCAGCAGCTCGGACTTCATGTAGGCGAGTCCAGCAGTGTCCGCTGTGGCAAAGACCAAGTCGTCGACGTACACGAGGATGTAGAACGGCGGCAGTGAAGTGTCGGTGCGCAGAAACAGCGACGGGTCAGCAGTAGAAGGAGCAAACCCAAGGGCCGCAAGCGTAGT